TGCGCCCAAGGCGTGAAAAAAAGGATCTTTACTTTACTTTTACTCACTATGGGTTGGTAGGATTGTCTCTTTTGATGTCTGCTGAATTGACTCACGCAACATATCCCATTGTTCATCAATAGTCTGTATAACTTCCATTGCATTATATCGGTTTTGTACAGTGACATTGTACTGTTCCTTAATCTCTTCATTCGTTTTCAGTATTTCACAATTTAACTTGATGTTCTGTTGTGTTTTATTAATATTCTTTACTTTTATTTTAATCTTTTCTTTAACTGGAACATGGTCACTAAAGCAGTCTGCTCCTGGTCTAGTCTTTGCTCCAACTAAGCTGCTCCGAAATCTTCTTGAAATCAAAATATAATCAATTAGATTGCGGACATTACCGCCAGGACTTTCCAAGTCTAAAAATCTTCGAGGATGGTGTTTAAACCAGGTGTTACCTATTATCATGCCTGAGACTCAGCCCATGCTATTAATCTGTCACCTCTCACATTCTTTTCTCCTAGGCCATAACCACCCGTTATTCCGTACACTTTTTCACTTCCTATTTTTGCGTCGAAATCTCCAAGTATCATTGTTACTTCACAATTTTTGCATTGATCAACAGCTATGTCTAACTCGTCATAAAATGCATCAATATCTTGTTCTGAACTATCTGCTATTGGGGCATAAATCTGTACTAAGTTGATGTCAAACGGTCTACAGTGAAGTTTTACTAATATTATTTTATCCGATTTTGTCCAAAATCCTTTCGCAGTTTTTGAGTTCTTTGGATCCAAAATAATACCAACTTCCTTACTATATTCCTTCCCACCTGAGTTAATAATTATGTGCTGGTCTGAATACTTTTCCCCTGCTCCTGGCCATCGCATTTCACGAAGTCCTAATATGTTGATGTTCATTCTCTTCATTTACATCTTGATGTTATCCACATTTCCGTTTTGTACGAGTGTTCTGACATTCTATGTACCAATGTTCAGGATGTTTCTACCATTTACTTTTGCTACAGTAGTTGGACGACGGTCGGGTATCACCCGTAGAACATGATGCTCCCTGCCGGACGAGGTGATTCCACTGGAATCCCCATTCACGTCGTTATCTGAATTCGTTATGTTTCGAGGCATAATTTTCTATGGACGATACAGTGGTGGTTTCCCTAGGAATTCAGCCGTTTTGTATATGGTTTGACTCCAATAGCCTTTGTCTAAAGAGATTTACCCTGCAAGGCAGCAGTGGGGGGGGGGGGGGGGGGGTTGTAGCCTCTTACCCGACTGGTCATGTCGTAGTCTTGAGGTATTTTATAAAGTTAGCTGTCTCAACAACTAACTCGCCGCCTCTCAATGACCCTCACCATTTTTGGTTCACGGCAAATGATTCAATATATTCGAGGCTAACCTCTATATCTAGAGGCCTTTCTTTCCACCATCCGCCACCTGGTGGACGCGCCTAGTAGTAGGACAGGCTCCTACCCCAGGTAGGATTATATGCTTGAAAATAGTTAGTTTGTCATCTTTGATTTGTACAGTAAACATATTTTTATTTGCCAATTTATAATTGTACGACTGCGGCTTGATGAGTGACTGCCCCTAGCATGTCTATATTTACAGGTGACACAAGATTATGAATCAGGGAAGTAGGGGACGGATTTCTCCTGTGTTTGATAACTTTGTAGCGGGATCTCCGAAACGCCCTGACTGTATCTATTGTAGCATGATTTAACTAGGCAAACATTTTCGCGAATCACCTTTATTTCTGTGTGCACTTAATAACTTTTCAAGTCGTTGGCAGCTACAAGTCTTGATGATCAGCTGCTTTCTCTTGCATCATAATAATACTCTGTTGACAGTGTTGACTTCCTTTTGAATTATTATTATATTAGACCCAGTCATACGCCTAGACCTAGAGTAGGAGGCAAACAAAACGATGGCATTTCGAGAACAAAGAGTCGTCAATCAAGGTAGGGTCGTTATAGACGTATATGCTGGTGTTTAGTTTGTTATTCGTTATTCTAAGAAATAAAATAATTCAGACTAACACTTCTGATTACTGGTTTGTTACCAACAACTGTGATTGAGATTGACCGAGATAGCCGTGGAAGCGCTGTGGCTAGCGTTCCTCATGGTGTGGGTCTTGTATCTGAATCACCAGAGACTGGGGATTTTTTTTTTAGGTCCTATTTCCTGGACTCTTAGGTGAACCTGGAATCATAAGGGAAAAGGAGAGGTGGGGGTGTTAGTGTCATAGTTATAGAGCTGCAGGTTCATTTTGCATTTTTTGCTCCAGAAAGAGAGGGAATTCCCTTGCCATTCATGCCTTGTCATGCTGGAGAATATGGGGCGAGAAGAGGAGTGGGTCAGAGTACCAGAGAGTGAAGTCTGACATGTGTAGGGTTCTGATCACATTAGGTCGAGAGTGATACAGAGGTGAAGGTCCAACAGTTGATTCTCGACAGTTCATGCCCAGGTGATCTGATTATCTCTACAGATGGTTCAGTGGGGAGAGAAAACAAAAAGTACCTGGGGGCTTATAGCGAAAGCCAATGGAAATTCTTTGGTGCAAGACAGCCTAGCATACAACATCTAGCATGAGAATGGAGGTGGAGGCAGTAACTACAGCTCTATAGTGGCTAGAGAACAAGATGCAAATACATATCATAATTGTTTCAGACTCTGAAAGCATGCTGAGAAAGGTGAAGAGAGGGATGCTTCAAGCAGAGTGGCAAGCTTCACTGGAAAGGTCACGGGTAGTGAGCATACTTTGGATCTTTTCTCCAGGCCATGCCAGCATAGTGGGTAATGAACAGGCAGACAGATTGACTGGATCTGCACCACTATGTGGTTAATTGATACAAGACAAGGCAGACAGATGTGGTCAAGGCCCTTTGGGAACAAGCAACGGAATCGGTAGAGAAACATTATTATTGCCTTTAGAGAATGAGGCACCTTGGTGTAACTAGAGGGTCTGATCGGCCCACTACACTTAGAGGAAAGGCAAGACAGACATATAACAGATTGTGACCTGTACCATCAGTATTGGAACTCTGTGCTGGCTGCTGAAGATGAGGATGGAGCATGCATGGAAATGCCCCGAGTGCTGTGATATCAATTCCTTGCTCAACTCAACTTATTTCTTGTCAGGTCGCAGGACCTCTCCTATATTGCACGGGTGTTATGATATGGCTTGGTTTGGTGTTTGCCAAAAATAATGTACAACATCCCTAAACATTCAGGAAGAATTGAAGTACGCGGAAAGAGATAAAAAAGATAGGATAGAGGTTTTCAAGTGTTGTGCAGCGGAGGCCAAAAAAGCAAAATGGGAACATTTTATTGGGGGCGATAAGACATTAGGAAAGTTTTGGAAGCTACAAAGGCAGATGCTCATGTACGATCAGCCAGTGTAATAGGAGCAATTCATAGTGATGACAGTATGCTGTTAACCACAAAGAGAAGAAGGAGACTTTCCTGAAGTGGTTTATTTCACAAACAGACTACATTGATGCTGATAACAGAGATACAGTTAGAGGAGATCTGGCAGCCATCTTAAATAACAAACATTATGAAGACATCATACAGGTGGAAGATGTAAAATGTCTTCTGAAAAGGGCAAAAGACACTGCTCCTGGGCCTGACAGGGTTAAATATTCTCGCATGAAAGACATGAGTGATGCAGACCTGGTGGAGATGACTGCTTGTTTCAGCCAGAGCATTAGGACAGCTTCAGTCCCACAAGAGTGGATGCACAGCTACCTGATTCCACTTCCTAAGCCTGGCAAGAATCATTCAACGCTCAGCGGCTATAGGAATATAACCCTACAAAACACCTTTGGTAAAGTGTTGAAGATAGTGGCGGGTAAGCTACAAAAATGTTTAGAACAGAGAAAGCTCCTTTTAGAAGGTTTGGGAAGTTACCGGCCAGGGAAACACATGTTCAAATGCAGCCACTTTTGCCTTTGACACCTTTGAAAGTTTCCAGATCAGACAGGAAATGGTGGCAGCGGCACTTGATTTAGAAGATGCTTACAGCAAAGTCAGAAACAGTATCTTGATGAAAGCGCTTATGGAGAAGGAAGTCTGTCCTTGGTTGGTGAACTGGATAGCAGCCTTTTTGTATACTCACCGTATACTATTAGTTGTGGTTTTATGCAAATGGCCACTAGAAAAACTGACAAAATTCAGTCTTCTACTTCTGTTTCTAGTTCAGAACTACTTTATCCCTTGGTATTTTATTTTGCTTTTATTATTATTTTGAAAATTTAATTAAAGAGGCTTGTTTGTATAATAAACAAATTTTTAGTAATATGATGTGTTAAAACTGATTGCCAACATCAGATGGAGACAATCCACATTTTTTGGTCATACCACAAGACATAGATTATAAGAAGAATGTTCTTCTTTGGGTTCACCTGCTGGTGATACTAGTCAGGGTACTAGTCCGATTCCAGAACCTGAGTGTTACGTGCATTTCCATTTGATAGATCTGACTCATTTGTATGCAGACTTGGTTCCTTGCCTCTCAGGCAGATGTGCACCAACTTTGAAGGAAGCTCCCAATTAGTTGACTCTTACAATATGTTTTTGGGTAGGCAGAAGGTCTATTCTTGTTTTCCCCACAATAGGGCCCTGGAATATACACAGGGAATAAGAAGATATGTTTAGAACTGTTATTCTGTTTTTACTTAGTGAATTGCAGCATACTGAAACCACTGTGCTGTGTGTTTCTCGAATGTGTTTATTATCTGTATAAATTTAATCTTAACATGGTTAGATTTTATTGTCACCTGTTTTGTTGTTCCTAAAGTATCTATGGAATCATTGTTCATTAAATATTCGTTGAAGTAAATAGTTGTTTGCCAGAATAAGTGAGTAATTTTGCATTGATAAATGTATGTAGTGTTTTTTGTATGGCGTTGTTAGACACCATGTGAAGATTATACATATGGAAGGAAGTGTTGGGTATCACCACCAGCGATAACATTGTTACATTTATTTACCATGCAGGTTATGATGATGTTGCCAACCAAGGAAAGTTCTTACTGAACGACTTTGTGTTTGAAAGAATGCAAAGAGATGGATTTGAAGATGCACCAGCTTTGTTACAGTTGCAAGAACAAAACAGAGGTGAAGAATTATTTCTGTTTTGTGCTAGCATTGCATTTGTTTCCTATATTATTGCATGTAATTTATAAACACAGATGAGTACTGTCAGCACCAGATACCCCACTATGATGTGGAGTCGTACATCTATTTGGGCAATAATGTAGATAAAGATAGGGGAACTGATATAGATGTTAAAATAGGAATACATAAGGCAAAAAGAGCTTTCATAGCACTAGGGAATTTGTGTAGATCAAAAGAAATTAAAACTAACACTTAACTTAAAATGTTTAATTCTATGTCAAATCAGTACTTTCGTATGGAGCGGAAACATTGAGAACAACGAAGTCAGTTACAGATAAACTTCAAACATTCATTAAGTGGGGCCTGTGCAGAATAGAGGGAATTAAAAAGTATGACAGAATTACTAATGTAGAGATTTGGGAGAGAACCAAATAAGTCCCAGTAGACCAAAAGATGAAGAAAAGATGCTGGCTCTTGATATGACACACATTGAGAAAACCAGAGAATAATATAACTAGAATGTCTTTGCACTGGAATACACAAGAGCATAGAAGTGATGGAAGACCAAGACCACATGGAGAAGGGAACTAGAGAGTAAAGTTAAAAAGATGGGAGGTCATGGGCAGAGCTTCATGCAATAGGCAGGTAGAATGACTTGCCTTTGGTTGAGGGCCTATGCTTTGCTGGGGGATAGAAGGTAGAAGAAGATACTATTATCACGATCAGTATTTATTGTGTGGCTTTTCTAGAAAGCTGCAAACTTTATGAATTGAAATATAATGCAAAAGTGTGATCTTCACGTCTGCAAATATCTTCTAGTCCATTCAGAACAGTCTCATTCAAAACATTTAGCTATCATTGGAAGGCTGGAAATCCCTCGTACAAAACATTTAGCTATCATTGGAAAGCTGGAAATCCCTCAAACAAAACATTTAGCTCTCATTGGAAGGCTGGAAATTCCTCATACAAAACATTTAGCTCTCATTGGAAGGCTGGAAATCCCTCATTCAAAACATTTAGCTCTCATTGGAAGGCTAGAAATCCCTCATACAAAACATTTAGCTATCATTGGAAGACTGGAAATTCCTCATACAAAACATTTAGCTCTCATTGGAAAGCTGGGAATCCCTCATACAAAACATTTAGCTCTCATTGGAAGGCTGGAAATCCCTCATACAAAACATTTAGCTCTCATTGGAAGGCTGGAAATCCCTCATACAAAACATTTAGCTCTCATTGGAAGGCTGGAAATTCCTCATACAAAACATTTAGCTCTCATTTAAGGCTGGAAATCCCTCATACAAAACATTAAGCTATCATTGGAAGGCTGGAAATCCCTCATACAAAACATTTAGCTCTCATTGGAAGGCTGGAAATCCCTCATACAAAACATTGAGCTATCATTGCAAGGCTGGAAATCCCTCATATAAAACATTGAGCTATCATTGGAAGGCTGGAAATCCACTCCTCCTTTCCTCACCCCTCATTTCTTGGCTGATATTGGAGTGGCTTTTTTTAGTTTCTGTGGAATTTCTCCTCACTTCTAGCTGCAATTCAGGAATGCTTGTAATTTGTGATTTTCCTTAGCACAAAATCTGACATGCCCTATGCTATTTCATCTTATTTTTTTAGTTCCAATTACATGCTCTATTTCTTACATTTTATAATGTGCCATAGTATCTGATATGATGAAGTCTGGCAGATCGCTATAGAAAACCTTGAGTCTAACACACAGACTAGGCTAGAATGTACCCAGTAGAGCCTTGGAGACAATTCTGGGCAGCAAAGAATTACAGAACTTGTAAAAGCAGTTGGCATTACAATGCTAAGTATTGAAATAGCAGTGTTTAGCGTAAATCATTGTTATAGTCTTAAAAACTTAGAAACAAGAACAACAAAATGAGGCTTTTTTTAAAGTGAAAGAAATGCTTTATCCCGATTAGGTCCACCGCTAGAGCACCTGAGAGAGATTGGGAGAGTTTTCAGACGTTGTGGTGACGATCTAGACAGAGATAAAGGCCTGCTGGAGTAAGTATGTAGTTCTTTTGAGAAATAAATATCATTCAGCTTAGATTTTATAGGTCATCTTCATTTTAATGTAGTTTTAATAAGTGATCTAAAGGTTAAATAAAATAAGAAAAAAGTAGTATAGAAATAATGATGTTAATAAAAACAGTAGTTGGACACTGAAGAGGTCACAGTTTCTATGTTGTTCCAGGGCATTGAAGTTAAGAGGAGATGAACAAGTTGGCAGGCTTGCTGGTGGGACTCATGGGCAGTGGATGAGCAATGGACAGGACTGATGTACAGAATGTTTTCAGAGGCAGAGCATGAAAAATATTCATGTGATGACTGTTCATCAGCAGCCATGACAGTTCATCAGCTGCCATGACTGTCCATCAGCTGCCTTGACTGTCCATCAGCAGCATTGACTGTCCATCAGCTGCCTTGACTGTCCATCAGCTGCCTTGACTGTCCATCAGCTGCCATGACTGTCCATCAGCTGCCATGACTGTCCATCAGCTGCCATGACTGTCCATCAGCTGCCATGACTGTCCTTCAGCTGCCATGACTGTCCATCAGCTGCCTTGACTGTCCATCAGCTGCCATGACTGTCCATCAGCTGCCTTGACTGTCCATCAGCTGCCATGACTGTCCATCAGCTGCCTTGACTGTCCATCAGCTGCCATGACTGTCCATCAGCTGCCTTGACTGTCCATCAGCTGCCTTAACTGTCCATCAGCTGCCTTGACTGTCCATCAGCTGCCTTAACTGTCCATCAGCTGCCTTGACTGTCCATCAGCTGCCTTAACTGTCCATCAGCTGCCTTAACTGTCCATCAGCTGCCTTGACTGTCCATCAGCTGCCTTGACTGTCCATCAGCTGCCTTGACTGTCCATCAGCTGCCTTGACTGTCCATCAGCTGCCTTGGCTGTCCATCAGCTGCCTTGACTGTCCATCAGCTGCCTTAACTGTCCATCAGCTGCCTTGACTGTCCATCAGCTGCCTTAACTGTCCATCAGCAGCCTTGACTGTCCATCAGCAGCCTTGACTGTCCATCAGCTGCCTTGGCCAGCGTCAGAATTTCAAGTAAAAAAGATGAAGAAAGACAAGAGCTCTATATCAAGGACTAACACAATAATCAAGCACCACAGAAATGGTACTGTCAGTTGCCACTTGCTGATGGATATACTGAGGAGGGATCAATCAGTTGTTCATTGTGCAGTGAGGATGATCTTTTGACTCCTAACTGATCTTCACATTTTTTAAAACTGGATAAAGTTGATGCATAATTTTATTAAGTTGGACAGAAATAAAAAAGACTAATGGATTTTCAGTTCCATATGACAGTTGAACAGGCAGTCCATTAGAGCCTTGAAGTGGCGCGGTGATTTATGTCACAGGCGTGAGGGGAAGTTAAGTCCAACATGATGTGTATAAGGAGATACTCCGTACGTCACTCGGGCACCAGTCCTTTACTATCCTGGTTGTACGGAACCTCACGCAAGACCCCTACAGCACGTCCTCGTCGTGCGCCACGGATAATGTCTCAAATGAGCATTAACAGAGCTGTCAGGGGATCTCGGAGTTCGGCGGCCCCCAGAGGTGATGTGTCCTTGTGGCTCTCATCAGCCCGCCCCCAAACGCTTGGGTGAAAAATGTTATCAAAACTCATTAGGAACATGAGTAAGTTTGCCAAACGTACAGCCAAAATTAAAACCCTTGGTTAAAATACTGCGGAGTAAAGAGAACATTGTTCACTGCACATCCTCTGTTAACCCTCAGTGTCGTCGTCACCGCGCTGAGGTACACCACAACAGCAACCATCCATAGGCTGGCCATCCTTGTACATCCTCGGTTAACCCTCAGTGTCGTCGTCACCGCGCTGAGGTACACCACAACAGCAACCATCCATAGGCTGGCCATTCATGTACATCCTCGGTTAACCCTCAGTGTCGTCGTCACCGCGCTGAGGTACACCACAACAGCAACCATCCATCGGATGGCTAAGCCTAAATGTCCGACAAAACTAGATCATACGGATCAAAATCTGACCATCAAAATTTGTATTGAACTGAAAAAGACCGAATGTCCACACCCAAAGACCCCACTCGCCCGAGTGTTGGGACAAAACTGATAACGATATGCCTGATGCAGGATGTAAAATTCTGTCGGGCTAACGGCTCGTCAAAGAAATCTAACGTGCGAAGGAAAAAAAAGAATGTACCTATCTGTGTGGTCACAAAAGTCCAAAACCAACGGGCTGCTCCCCGCTGACTTCCAGAGAGCGCAGCCCCTGTCGAGCGGGAGGCCTGATACGGTTGTGAGGTTAAGCAGGAATGTGCAGGACGTGACGATTCCTTGGGTGAGCCCAGAACCAGAGCGCCATGTGCCGGCTCTGCATGCATGGAAGCCTCCTTGGATGGCGGGGAATGCCCATGATCTGCCCCTGCCTTCCCTTGAGGGCTAACTGTTCCACAAGGGGCTGCCCCAAGGGGGTACTCCGGGGGCAATACCTGCGGCGAAGGAGACAAAGTGGACACCACACAGGTCAGGCAACGTCTCGACCCACACAAAACAATGGCCACAGTCACCCTAGAAATAGGCCTGACGTCTTCCTTCGAAGTCGGAGTACAGCTGCCCAGGAGGCAGGGAAATGAAAAACGGTTGTACATGCAAAAATCAGGTCCAGGTGAAAGCCAAAAGTCCAAGCGGACGATTATCCTGGACCTTCCACTGGAATTCACAGCCGGTGATCGATAAAAAAAAAAAAAAGAGCCTTGAAGAATTTTTGAAAAATAAATAAAATAATACTATCCATGATTTGCTGATGAAGTTTTCACCTATGAATTGAAGTCCATGGTATCGTTGCCTAAGCTGCTGATTTAAGTACTTGGTGCAATAGTGATCTGTGTATTTTTTTTAAATGCTTCTTGTCTGTGTCCCCAGAGGTTTATGTAATGATATTGAGAAAAGGGCTGGTCTTATGCATTAATATTGTGTGTGTATATGGCAATATTGTCGTAACAGACTGCATCCATCAATGACAAACTGTAATTCTAGTGGTCTCTGATGGTGTTGACACTTCTATGAATTTATGCATTTACTCTGTGTGTGTGCATGTTTCTGAATTTTGCCATATTAATTGTCCATTCACCAGTTTTTAAATGGATCAGTGAGATGAATTTGATGTAATTTTCACTGGCTTAGCAATGGAGCAATTATAGTGTGACCTATTTGCATGGAAGTTGAAGCCTCTGCTACTGCTAGACTAATGGCATGCTGATCCAGCTGTAGCCATGACCAGTGTCCGTGTGTGTTTTGCAGAGTCACTGTCGCTTATTGATCAGTGTCCCTCCACAGGACACGTGTCCATTAGTTTCCTTGAGACACAGAGAGCAGCTTCTTTTGCCACTGATCACCTCGGTAGACTTGGCTTGGCCACACAAAACGTTTTTCTGACACAAATTGCAGCCTGTCTGATTTGTCTGAACATCTGTGTTATAAATTACCATTAACTAAACAAGTCCTTGCACCTTTAACAAATGTGAGGATTTCGTTTGTTTAAAAAAAACAAAATCTAGAAGTATGCACATCTTTATCTATAGTTCACAGTTTAAAAATTCTGCACATTTTATCCCTTTATTCTACTTGTTTGGAAGCCTTTTAGTGGCTTCTGTAGCTTGGGCGATGTGAATGTGCCTAATAATGTCAGGGTGTGGGGTTTGATCCCAGCTGCAGGCTATTTGGCAGCAGACCATCTAGCGTTGGTTTTGACATTTGTACCTAGAGCCGAACATTCACAGTGCAAACCTGTTGCCTGTTAACGACAAATTATTGAAAGTAAAATTTGCCAGATGAATAAAGTGAATAAACATTTACATCTTATTATTTTTCTCAACTTGTAAACTATTTTTTCTTTGGTGAAGGAGAAAATTCCAATTGTATTTACTTTGGTCACATTTCTCTGTGAACTCAGGCTAGTTTCAAGAGTCCCACCCGATGCAGAGCGGCAAACATTGATGAATGTTGCAGGAAGTATATTTCAGGACAAAATCGTCAACTGGGGACGGATCGTGGCTCTTTTCTATTTTGCTTACAGAGTTTGTATCAGGGTGAGTAAAACTATTGTTAGCTATTACTTTTGTTCAAGTATACATTGATTTCACAGAGTTTGTTGTCAGGGTGAGTAACACTGTTGTTAGCTTTTACTTTTGTTCAAGTATACATTGATTTCACAGAGTTTCTACCAGGGTGAGTAAAACTATTGTTAGCTATTACTTTTGTTCAAGTATACATTTTTTCACAGAGTTTGTATCAGGGTGTGAGTAACACTATTGTTAGCTATTACTTTTGTTTAAGTATACATTGATTTCACATGTTTTTGTCATTAAGTTGTAGGGCACACATCTACAGCCATTCAAGTAAGACACTGTATCCACCACAAGCATCTCACTTAGCATAATAAGACAGTGTGTTATTCAAGTTCCTGCACTCTGCTACCAGTTACAAACATGGACACTATTGAAACAGCCAGAGAGCCAGCTCATTCCAGACAGAATGAAAGGCTTAAAATGTTCTGGTACCTATTTCCACATCAGGAGAAGATAAGCTACATTCTTTGGGCACATCATGTGAAGCAGAAAAGAGGAGTATGTTACAGCAATGGGAAAGCTAGAAAGGCATAGAGAGACCAAAGGAGAAGATATTGGACAGTTTGGCTACATGGCATGAAAGAAAATCTGAATCAGAATCGATTGACAGTACACAAGACAGAAGGCTGTGGGAACAACATGGTTACCAACAATATGATTTTTTATTTATTTTAAGGCTGTGTCAACCCCAGAGCTGTTGATTTAATACATTGAATTATTCTGAGTATGGTCCAGCGGGGTCTTATAAAATCTTTACAGTTGCAGTTTTTATAGCAACTTGATGTTTGTCTGAGCCAGACTCTTGACTTCCATTGCAATCACTATATTTGGTCCAGTCAGGTTTCCAAACTAGCCTTTGATATTTGTTATCTGTAACTGACTGACAATTCCCTCTGCTGGGTTGCTACTCAAAGGTTTGACTTTATCCGTGACAGACTGAAATTCCACACGCTGGGTTGCTACTCAAAGGTTTGACTTTATTTTTAACTGACTGACATTCCTCCCCCCCCCCCCCCCCCCAACCATGTTGGTTGCTACTCGAAGGTTTGACTTTATCTCTAACTGACTCACATTCCTCCCCCCCCCCCCAAACAATGTTGGTTGCTACTCGAAGGTTTGACTTTATCTCTAACTGACTGACATCCCCCCCCCAACCATGTTGGTTGCTACTCAAAGGTTTGACGTTATCTCTAACTGACTGACATCCCCCCCCCCCCCCCCCACCATGTTGGTTGCTACTCGAAGGTTTGACTTTATCTCTAACTGACTGACATTCCTTCCCCCCCCCCCCCAACTACACTGGGTTTGCTACTCGAAGGTTTGACTTTATCTCTAACTGACTGACATTCCTCCCCCCCCCCCCACCCCCACCCCCCAAATACGCTGGGTTTGCTACTCGAAGGTTTGACTTTATCTCTGACTGACTGACATCTCCCCACCCCCCCAACTACGCTGGGTTTGCTACTCAAAGGTTTGACTTTATCTGTGACCGACTCACAAATCCCCCTCCCCCTTCCCTGCTGGGTTGTTACACGAAAGTTTGACACCATAGTGACCCAGTGAGCCATATCCTGAATGTTAGTCCAACATGCCAAATCCCAGAAACCCAGTATAACACTTCCTAAGAAGTTATAATTAGCATATTAAATATTTTGGTTTTGTTTCTCACAAAGTCCAAGTCTTTGATTTGAAATAGAATTAATATTGTTGTCTGTTACAATTCAAATTGTGGCTATGTTTAATCATTGCTTTATGCTGTTTGTTCCAAACAAATGCCTTGTTTGATCCAAACAGATGCCTTGTTTGATCCAAACAGATGCCTTGTTTGATCCAAACAGATGCCTTGTTTGTTCCAAACCGATGCCTTGTTTGTTCCAAACAGATGCCTTGTTTGATCCAAATCGATGCCTTGTTTGTTCTAAACAGATGCCTTGTTTGTTCCAAACCGATGCCTTGTTTGATCCAAACACATGCCTTGTTTGTTCCAAAAAGATGCTTTGTTTGATCCAAACAGATGCTTTGATTGATCACACAGTATTGAATGTGAAGAAGTCTTTGAGTACTCATATTTTTTGCAATACAGGTAGATGAATATAGAACTAAATATGTTTGTGTAATTGTCCATATTTCAGGCAGTGAACAGAGTAGAACTTATACGTGACATTATCAACAGCATCGTCGCCTTCATGAGAACATATATTGTACAGTGGGTCTTAGAGCATGGGGGATGGGTAAGCTGTTCATGTTTTGCTAATTTGTAAATGCAACCAAGCCTTCTCTTTTTGTTTACTTTTCTTGCTGTCTGTTTCTTCTCCTGTTCTTGTCATTTTAAAGCATTAATGAATAGTTTTACAATGTCGGCTCTGTGGCTAAGTTGATGCGAACGCTTTGTAATACCGGGGTGCCGGGTTCGATCCCAGCTGCGGGCCATGCACCTTGCATTGGTTTCGACAGTGGTATCAGGGGGCTGACCGTCCAGAAAGCAAACTACTGGACTTAAATTTGCCTAGAGAAACCACACAACAGCCAGGGGCTGCTGGGGTTGGTTCTGCAACGTCCTGTAAAGGATACGCAACTAACCTTTACCATGCATTTGAGATGGTGCCTGAATCCAAACTGAGAAAGAAGCAAGAATTCTGTGATGGAGATTGTCCAGTCACTCATAGTAAATTTGCTACCAAAAGATTTCAAGCATTCTTTTTTCTTCTTGTGTGTGTGTGCATGCATGTGTGTGTCACTGATACCAGGTTTTAGCCCAATGTTGTGGTTTTTCTGTGTTTTTCTTCTGCTTCTTGGGTGGTTTGATTGATGGATTTGGCAGGTTTCAGCTATTCCATTTATCCATCTCTTTCTTGGTCTTCCCCTTGCCTTCCTCCCAGGTTTTCTGCTGTAAAAAAATCTCGTATGAAATTTGGTCTGACTGCATTCTCACCAGATAGCTAGACCATTTTATTTCTGGTTTTTCTGTCAGTAAAGTTCAGACACGGTCTTAAAAACTTTCTCTTCCTGCTGGTATCTGTAACCCTGTCCCTTCTTATGATGTTAGCGACCTTACAGAAACAGTACAGTTCACATGCAGTAAATCAGTATTTTCTGTTCTAATGCTCTATTCATTTTCCATGTTTGGCACTGATAGCATAAAGTAGGGTTAAAGATTGTATTAATCGTTTGCTGTTTTGCTGGAAGAGTGACATGTGTTTGTCTAAGGAGTGGGGGCTAACTGGTAGGTGACATTTGTTTGTCTAAGGAGTGGGGGCTAACTGGTGAGTGACATTTGTTTGTCTAAGGAGTGGGAGCTAACTGGTGGGGGACATTTGTTTGTCTAAGGAGTGGGGGCTAACTGGTGGGTGACATTTGTTTGTCTAAGGAGTGGAGGCTAACTGGTGGGTGACATTTGTTTGTCTAAGGAGTGGGGGCTAACTGGTGGGTGACATTTGTTTGTCTAAGGAGTGGGGGCTAACTGGTAGGTGACATTTGTTTGTCTAAGGAGTGGGGCTAACTGGTAGGTGACATTTGTTTGTCTAAGGAGTGGGTGCTAACTGGTAGGTAACATTTGTTTGTCTAAGCAGTGGGGCTAACTGGTAGGTGACATTTGTTTGTCTAAGTAGTGGGGCTAACTGGTGGGTGACATTTGTTTGTCTAAGCAGTGGGGCTAACTGGTAGGTGACATTTGTTTGTCTAAGCAGTGGGGCTAACTGGTAGGTGACATTTGTTTGTCTAAGCAGTGGGGCTAACTGGTAGGTGACATTTGTTTGTCTAAGCAGTGGGGCTAACTGGTAGGTGACATTTGTTTGTCTAAGGAGTGGAGGCTAACTGGTGGGTGACATTTGTTTGTCTAAGGAGTGGGGGCTAACTGGTGGGTGACATTTGTTTGTCTAAGGAGTGGGGGCTAACTGGTAGGTGACATTTGTTTGTCTAAGGAGTGGGGCTAACTGGTAGGTGACATTTGTTTGTCTAAGGAGTGGGGATAACTGGTGGGTGACATTTGTTTGTCTAAGGAGTGGGGCTAACTGGTGGGTGACATTTGTTTGTCTAAGGAGTGGGGCTAACTGGTGGGTGACATTTGTTTGTCTAAGGAGTGGGGCTAACTGGTGGGTGACATTTGTTTGTCTAAGGAGTGGGGATTACTAGTGGGTGACATTTGTTTGTCTAAGGAGTGGGGGCTAACTGGTAGGTGACATTTGTTTGTCTAAGGAGTGGGGGCTAACTGGTAGGTGACATTTGTTTGTCTAAGGAGTGGGGGCTAACTGGTAGGTGACATTTGTTTGTCTAAGGAGTGGGGGCTAACTGGTAGGTGACATTTGTTTGTCTAAGGAGTGGGGGCTAACTGGTGGGTGACAACATTTGCCTTCTGTACTCTGGCTTCTCTCTCGCTGTCGAGTCTGCTAGTTTCTGTAAATATGCTTCCTGTATATTTGAATTCTCATTCTTGTTTAATTTAAGTAGCATAAACATGAACATTCATATGATGTTTCCTGCCTGTTCTCATTACCTCATTTGTTTGCCGTGTTCAAGCATTAGTTGAGGGTAATTGAGACAGAAGCTGTCAGCATGACTCATAAACAAGAACATCCAAGCAGTTGTCACAAGCAGAGACTGTGTCAGTGATATGACTATTGTCATTCACTTGTTCATTTGATTCCTGCAAGTTTTCACTACATTGAGAAATAGTGGTCAGCTGCCATAACCTTATAAGTAGAGGACCCTTTTCCACACCATTAGGCACATTGAACATATAAAGCTAGAACTATAAGTGTAAATCAATTGGCACTCATTGGGTGATGTAATCAGCAGCACGTTGACCACCTTTACTTCCTAGGACTTAATCTGGTACCATTTTAGGCTTGGTTGACCTGGGAGCCAAGTTCATTTTTGAAAAACAGAATGCAGATTTGAAAATTACAACATTTGGGCCCAAGTGTCTAGCCATGGCATCACAAAAATCATGTGAAAAGAAGAATATGAATCTGTGGTGTGTTGGATCAACATATCCATTGTGTGATCATCTGATAAACTGGTTGTCATCTTCTTGTGTCTTATATTCCTTACAGGAAGCCATTGTTGAGTACTGGGACAGATCCAAAAGAAAGCTTGGTTTCTTTGTCTTTGGAAGTTTGACTGTGTGCGCTGGAGCTTTCCTCTATCACAGATACTTGAGTTAGTTCTTATCACGTGTCAACAGATTTGCTGTCATGGTAATTGTCCCTCAGGTTCTGCATTCCTTGTGGTCTTGATTTGTGTTTGGCAAAGAAGTTATGTTAAGGATGTTCAAACTTGACAGACGCCAGATCATGTCATTTGGGAGAATATAGGACACGCCTCATTATCTCTAATGATGGATTGTCAAGACTGGTTATTTGTAATTAGTGAGGACATGGTAGTAATTGTCTTTAGAAAGAAAGCAGTTAAATTGTTACATTGTATTTTTTAACTGTCATTTTTACAATTTTTTGGTAAGTAAAATTGCACCAAGAAGAGTAAAAAGTAAAGATCCCTTTTCACGCCTTTAGTCACATCGGGCAAATAGGATCTAGGGTAAAACCTTACAGCTGTAGGCAGTCCAGTCACCGACAGCAAACCATCTAGAAGTGTCTATTCAGTCACTGGCAGCTAACCATCTAGAGTCTGTTTGTTTTATTTATTTATGTTTAAATGGGGCGAAATTCTTTGTCAATTTGTTTCTTAGTCGTGGTGCCTTTTTTTTTTCCAATTAAAATGTTTCCACTGTGCCCTAACCTTAGTAAAAGTATGACTGTTTGTATGTAAAAGATAAAAAAAATTAAACTCATGTATCTTCAAATATTTTGCGGCGCCCCTCTGAAGATGTCGCTTTCCGGGGTGCTGCGGTGCACAGTTTGGGAATCACTGATCTAGGGTAAAACCTCACAGCTGTAGGCAGTCCAGTCACTGGCAGCAAACCCTCTAGAAGTGTCTATCCAGTCACTGGCAGCAGACCATCTAGAAGTGTCTGTCCAGTCACTGGCAGCAAACCATCTATAATTGTCTGTCCAGACACTGGCAGCAAACCATCTAGAAGTGTCTGTCAATTGACTGGCAGCAAACCATCTAGAAGTGTCTGTCCATTGACTGGCAGCAAACCATCTAGAAGTGTCTGTCCAGACACTGGCAGCAGACCATCTAGAAGTGTCTGTCCAGTCACTGGCAGCAAACCATCTATAATTGTCTGTCCAGACACTGGCAGCAAACCATCTAGAAGTGTCTGTCAATTGACTGGCAGCAAACCATCTAGAAGTGTCTGTCCATTGACTGGCAGCAAACCATCTAGAAGTGTCTGTCCAGACACTGGCAGCAGACCATCTAGAAGTGTCTGTCCAGACACTGGCAGCAAACCATCTAGAAGTGTCTGTCCAGACACTGGCAGCAAACCATCTAGAAGTGTCTGTCCAGACACTGGCAGCAAACCATCTAGAAGTGTCTGTCCAGACACTGGCAGCAGACCATCTAGAAGTGTCTGTCCAGTCACTGGCAGCAAACCATCTAGAAGTGTCTGTCCAGACACTGGCAGCAAACCATCTAGAAGTGTCTGTCCATTGACTGGCAGCAGACCATCCAGAAGTGTCTGTCCATTGGCTGGCAGCAAACCATCTAGAAGTGTCTGTCCATTGACTGGCAGCAAACCATCTAGAAGTGTCTGTCCAGACACTGGCAGCAAACCATCTAGAAATGTCTGTCCATTGACTGGCAGCAGACCATCCAGAAGTGTCTGTCCAGACACTGGCAGCAGACCATCTAGAAGTGTCTGTCCAGTCACTGGCAGCAAACCATCTAGGAGTGTCTGTCCAGTCACTGGCAGCAAACCATCTAGAAGTGTCTATCCATTGACTGGCAGCAAACCATCCAGAAGTGTCTGTCCAGACACTGGCAGCAAACCATCTAGAAGTGTCTGTCCAGACACTGGCAGCAGACCATCTAGAAGTGTCTGTCCAGTCACTGGCAGCAAACCATCTAGAAGTGTCTGTCCAGACACTGGCAGCAAACCATCTAGAAGTGTCTGTCCATTGACTGGCAGCAGACCATCCAGAAGTGTCTGTCCATTGACTGGCAGCAAACCATCTAGAAGTGTCTGTCCATTGACTGGCAGCAAACCATCTAGAAGTGTCTGTCCAGACACTGGCAGCAAACCATCTAGAAGTGTCTGTCCATTGACTGGCAGCAGACCATCTAGAAGTGTTTGTCCAGACACTGGCAGCAGACCATCTAGAAGTGTCTGTCCAGTCACTGGCAGCAAACCATCTAGAAGTGTCTGTCCAGTCACTGGCAGCAAACCATCTAGAAGTGTCTATCCATTGACTGGCAGCAAACCATCCAGAAGTGTCTGTCCAGACACTGGCAGCAAACCATCTAGAAGTGTCTGTCCAGACACTGGCAGCAAACCATCCAGAAGTGTCTGTCCAGACACTGGTAGCAAACCATCTAGAAGTGTCTGTCCAGTCACTGGCAGCAGACCATCTAGAAGTGTCTATCCATTGACTGGCAGCAAACCATCCAGAAGTGTCTGTCCAGACACTGGCAGCAAACCATCTAGAAGTGTCTGTCCATTGACTGGCAGCAAACCATCTAGAAGTGTCTGTCCAGACACTGGCAGCAAACCATCTAGAAGTGTCTATCCATTGACTGGCAGCAAACCATCTAGAAATGTCAGTCCAGTCACTGGCAGCAAATCATCTAGAAGTGTCTATCCAGTTACTGGCAGCAAACCATCCAGAAGTGTCTGTCCAGTCACTGGAGATAAGTATTATAATAGTATTTCTATAGAAGTGTTTGTCCAGTCACTGGACATAAGAATTTTTTAAATATTTCTGTGAAAGTCTTTGTCCAGTAACTGGAGATAACTATTACAGAAGTATTTTTTAAAAGTTTCTGTCCAGTCACTGGTCATAAGTATTTTATTAATATTTCTGTGAAAGTCTTTGTCCAGTAACTGGAGATAACTATTGCAGAAGTATTTTTTAAAAGTTTCTGTCCAGTCACTGGACATAAGTATTTTATTAATATTTCTGTAGAAATGTCAGTCCAGACAGTGTGGATAAGTATTATAAAATACACTCAGGGTGCATATTCAGTTTGTGGACTTATTAGTTTGAATAGAACCAGGTTTTGAATGATCCAGATCCATATAAACGTTTTTGTATATTTTTATATACCCACACAGAGGCAGCTCATATATGCACAGATGTGCATTTAGCTTGTACGCACATCAGATGGTAATGTGTATGAAAGATACAATAAAACTTGCAGACCTGATTTTCACCATGAGTGCTGGCACTTGTTTGTGTGCTTCTGTATGCTTCATTTGTTTTTCAAATATATGAGAATTTGAAGTCTTATTATGAATCCTGAGATTAAACATTTCTTTTTCATGCACTTGTAGTCATCAACATGTGTATGTGTATGGATGCATGCATTTGTGCTTGTGTGTAACGGACTGGCTATGGCATTTTCGTACAATAGGAGAAAGGTTTGTCCAGCCATCTTTAGAAGTTACCCTAGAACTCTAGGGTATTATACAGTACAGAAAACACTGGCTGCCATTTTTGTTTAAAAACATAAGTTGAGAAATTGTTACGTTACAGTTCAGTTGCATCACAGTAAAGTCAGGGGTTGAACTTATATTTTCTACTCACTTTGCCCAGGAAGACAGTTTCCATTGCTGTTAATGCTGTTCACATACGTCACTCTTAATATATTTAGCATGCACTAGCTCGATTTGTCATATGTTGTCAAACGGTATAAGATTGAATGCTGTACCAGAGTCAACCTACTGGTCTTTAGTTGTTGAACATTCCAGCATAGTTTTTTTGTCTCCGTGTTACACAGAAGATGATTACTGACATATTGTGTACAGCATAACTGAAAACCAAGCTCTTCAACATGTATTGCCCCCACCAAAAGTCTTTTACTACATCAATAGTCTGGGGGGGGGGGGGGGGGTGTTTACAGTTTCAGTTTTGGAAAAGGTTTGAAATGTCAATAATTATGTGAGCGAGAATGTTAGCTATTGTTGTTTTATTGTGTTTGGATATGTGTGCATATAATAACTTGTATTGTTCTCATTCAGAACTAAAATTATTGGTTTCTATATTGTTAAGTTTGAAATTGATTGTAGCAACTCTAATATGCAAATATTGTTCTCACCCTTACGAAACTGTTGACCACTTCCACTGCAAATTTACTGCGATTGTAAACATCAAAGGACAGATACAGCTGCTATCTCCAGTAGTTAACTGTCTCGGAAAGTCCCTCAAATAGCTGCAGACAATCTGCACTATCACTGTAATAAGAATGGCACTGGGCTGTCAACAGCAGATAACTCAGCAACTTTGAGATAGTAACAAGAGTGCTGTGCACATGACACTTGTTATTCGGCACCTCAGCAAGTTGTACAATGTTTCATGTATGAATTTTGTATTATTTTTACTGGGGAAATATTGCTCATCTCAAAGATATTTTATTAATGCTCAAAATGTTTTGTAATGAATATTTTCTACAAAAGTGCAAATATAAGAACAATTTGTGCTTGCTTATTTTTGCTGAAATTTGTGTATATTGGTACACTCATATGAATTAACCATGTTGTGTATATTGGTACACTCATATGAATTAACCATGTTGTGTATATTGGTACACTCATATGAATTTACCATGTTGTGTATATTGGTACACTCATATGAATTTACCATGTTTTGTATATTGGTACACTCATATGAATTTACCATGTTGTGTATATTGGTACACTCATATGAATTTACCATGTTGTGAAATATGGAAAGAACCAGAGTAAATGAAGGTTGAGAGCGTATATTGTTTGATATATTTTGTTCAGGCTTTTGATGTGTTTGGTAAAGCAACTGATCAACTTGCAAAGCAAGAAGCTAACAAAAACGGTTGAGTGTAGTGATGTCATTTGTCAGTGAAAATGGCAACTACACATTTTACAGTTAGAAATGTAAAATGAGGAAGAAAAGAAAAAAAAAATCTGCTGCAGTGGACACTTGATAGTACTTTAACTCTTTCATTTCCAAACAATAGTCATTTTAACTGTGCTGTCTGTTGATCCTAAGGAGTTGAGCATACAAATTGTGGAGTTATTGTGGAGTTCCTGGTTTATTCACCTCTCAGGGTGGTGCACTTCTCCTATCTT